TGTTGAGTCTAGGTCACACCAGTTTTGTTCATGCAGCATCAAAAGCTAAACACAGCTATTGTGGTCATGACTCACAAAAGAAAGGAGGGAGAAGTGTTTTACCAGTTGTTTTAAATCACATTTACTTTTTACATCATGGCTAACCAATTTGGAAACAATGCTTCTGTGCTTAGAAATACGATTATTTTCCTATCGCTGCAGGCCTCCATTGGTTCCCATCCATTTCCATACAAAAAGGACATCCATTAACTGAATTACCACGCAACAACAATGTAATATTGACAAAAAGGAACACAGACCTCATCTCCACTGTGTTGAATTACCCAACTGAAGCAAATTTCGAGGAGCCACCTTATTGATTTTCGTATCGTACAAAAATTAATGAAAACAAATAGCTTCTTAGCTCCACAAGACATGCTGAATAGACCTTGATGTCGGATGTTCTTTTCATATAAAGCATACATGACACAACATATTTTGTTTGTTTGTAGCACCTCTTTTCCTTTTGTTTCGGCTGTATACACAACCTAATGGAAGTTAACATTGAGTGTATCTTCAGAGGATGGGATTCCTCCTTTAGCCAGGGGCACACAGTGATGAAACATATTCCAGTGTGTGCCTACGTTTCTGTGTGTGTATTTTTTCTGCATGACACAAACACACTATAACACTCTCTTCGATATTTGACCTGTTCTGCCCCCGAGCAAATAATAATTGTCCTTCCTGCATCCTAACACACTCCTGCACATTACCTTACCTCCAGTTTCTTTCCAAGTGGTATTTTCCTTTGTTTATCCTAAGCTACCTTCATACTACAATCCATATAGCTATCTAGTATACTCCACTGTAAATTGATTTCAACGAGTATAACGTCCAAAATTCACAAGGGGTCTGCCACTAGATATTCAATAATAAATACTGACAGAATATATAAAAACAAATACACACAATCTCTCCTCCATTCTGTTTGCCTTTTTTGACCTTTACGTATAATGTTTTAGTTGGCAGTTGAAAATGTGTATTATATTCCCCAACACGCTTTCGTTGTCAGTATGTACTTCATGGTGTTTTTCAAATGGCCCATTGTGGATCAGTTCCTGGTTAAAGACCTTTAATTCTACACACACCTCTTTCCTCTTTGGCTCTGTCAACAGTGTTTCATTAAAACGGTCTCAGTGGTTTGTTGCCGGTGAATGTTTTCCCTCTAACTTCAGCTCCCGTTGGTGCGGTCCTTGAAGTTCATTCTAAGAAAATTGAGCTTGACAGCAACAGCAGTTAGTTTGGCTTTTTTTTTCTTCCCCTTTGTTGTTGCTGCTCCTTTTGATTCTGCAAAGGAATAATGCAAAGAGGAATACAAAGTGTTATTAACTTTTTTTTTTCTCTCCACATTATTTTCTATCATTCTCTCTGCTTTGCTGCTCTCTCAACTCATTTTCTTTATTCATAACCCCCCTTTCCTCTCGTCTCTCCATCCAGGCAGTACTATGAGATGCTGTACAACACTGCAGATGAGCTGCTGAACCTGGTGGTGGACCAGGGTGTGCGCTACACGGAGCTGGAGTACATCAATGCCCTGTCCTTGCTCCATCGCAGCCAGACGGGGGTAGGGGACCTGAGCACCCAGAACGTCCGTCTGCAGAGGCTGAAGGAGATCATCTGTGAGCAGGCCGCCATCAAACAGGCCACCAAGGACAAGAAGATCACTACGGTGTAAAGATGAAACACAACTGGGTCCACTAGGGGGTTGATGACCGGGAAACACATCTTTATTTCAGCTCCTTCAGATCTGTCTGGCAGGAATAAGTGCAGCAGATAATTGGGTCATGCAAGAGTAAGGAGTTAAAGGGCAAACACTTGCAGGAGAGGGCATATTTAGGAATTGGCTTAGGAAACATTGAAATACAGACTTGCTCGAGATTTAAATCATAATGTGTGAAATCTTTTGACCAGAAATATGTCCTCTCCATTTCATCCATTATAAAAATGTACTACAGTTAGAGGGTTGACACAGATACACCTTCCAACTCTGGGCTTGTCAAATATATCAAAAATATATCTCAGTGTACAGTATGCAGCTCTGGCTTACTCTAATTGGGAAGTGAGGTGACAGCCAACACAACTGCAAAGTTTGCAAGTTTAGTTTGTTATGCATGTTATGACATAAGGTCACCTATATCAATTGACACTTTTAAAAAGAAAAAACACAAATTCATCACTAGCGCTGCGACACTAACAGTCCCCCACTGACCATGACTCCAGCTCCAGATAAAAAGGCGATTGTCTTGGACTTTCCCCCGAACTTGGGCTCCATCTCATCTCATTTTCCTATTAGATCTAAACTGCTGCTCTCAATTACACCTCTATCTCTCCTCTCCTGGCATCCCCATGGGCCTACTGATTCTGTCTGCAATAACAGATGCCAGATTAGGCCGTCTGAATGAGGCCACATCTTCCGCCTGCTGCCAATTTTCGGTTTGTCCCCAAAGATTTCCCTAGCTGAGAATTGCATCATATCTATGGCTGTTGAAAAATCTGTTTTTTTTTGTTTTTTTTTCTCATAGTTTGTGCAGTAAACTCCTGTGGAAAGTTGTGAGTTTCATCCTTCTATAAATCAGGAATATGTTTTTTTTAAACTATTATATTTCAAGTCCATACCACAGTGGAAGGAATGTTTTCAAGACGTGTTTAGGAATACATTTCCTCAGTCATACTAGCTCTATAGCTGAAACAATGCAGTTCTGAATCTTCGTTTTGCTGCTCTCACCACTTGTCCTCAAGTCTTCTAAAGTGAACCAAACGTATAAACTCAAGAGACGATCACAAATCATTCCCCCTTCCTGCAACCCTCCGTGTTTTTTGTTCATTAACTTGGGTGAGAAGTGCTTAACGAGAGCGGGAGCTGAGTATGGGAGCCTTGTCAATACGGCAGGCCCGGCGCTGGTCTCCCCGAAGCCCACAAAGCAATCCATCAAAATGACACAGGCTGGGATCGATGGGAAAACAACACGGGGCTGCTGAGGGGTTTGCCTACCACTCTGAAACGTACACTTGGTGTTAATTCTCAAATCTGCTCATTCAGCTGTTAGCTACTTTTGTAAGGTTATACATGAGAAACTTTAATACAATGTTAACCAACTGTGTCATGTCACACATGGATACTATTATACTAGATTCCCACTACACACATATGACATAAAGCTCCAGAAGGCTTATGTATTGGGTATACTTCATATGTAAGTGTGAAACACACCTGCTGCCATTGCTTTTTATTCAATAATGAAATGTACTTTAGGGTTCATTTTGTAATTTAGAAGCAAAACTGAGTTTATCTGCCTTTCTATCTCACTTTTCCTTGGCAATGGACCTTTGTTTTGCACAGAGTCATTTCTTTGTTTCAAGAAAGAATGTATTGAAAGCTATACATCGAAATGTGTTAGTCTTGGAAAAGTTGAAACATGATTGTTCTGCTGTTATCTTAGAAATGCTCTCATGTTAGTCTAAATCAAGCCCATGTGATTTGTTTATGCATACTCTAATACACTGAAAAAAAAAATAAAAGCTTCAAATTCACTCATGTTTTGTGTGTATTGTACAGTGTTTTTCCTTGGCTGAATAACACTCATATTTTTCATTACGTGAAGCACAGCTGACAGGAGTTATTTCACACAGTAACACCTCTCCTCTCCTGACAGCACCGTCCATCACTGTTTTTGATGCATCTGAGACTTTACTGATTCCACCTTATGTCATACAGTATTAGTGAGACCAACGCTGGAGGAGATGTTTTACCTGACAGCTGTGATGTGTTGTCTGACATGGTTTGAAGCATGAAGTGCAGCATATTGGAGTCAGGAAAACAAACACAGACAACACACCACCTGAAGCCCACATGAAGCCCTGAGTTGTGGCTGTAAATCCATATTTGTCGGTACAGTCTACAGTGTGATGTTTGCACAGTCTCTATGTGATTAATTGTGCTAACTGTCATGGACTCCTGAAGGCGAAATCCAAATTTAAGAAATGGTATGACCCTGCAGCTGATATGTATTATACAAAATTGGAAATCTCTAAACACGTCAGTAATGTTTATATACATTGTAGTACTATTTATTTGTTTCTATATAGCCTGTATGTAAAAAGAAAATATTGTATTTGGTTTTATTTAACGATGTAGGCCTTGAAGGTGAATGTTGTTCCTTTTGGGAATGCATGTCAAGTAAATACTGCTAAGGTGAGCTTTTTATGTGTTATACATGTTTTTTTTCCCTTAAAGGGCTGGTAACACATTGCAGCTATCCCTGGAGGATTTGGAGATGTAAGTGTTTTTTTCCAGTGGAGTAAAGTAACTAAGTAGATTTACTCATACTGTAGGCTACTTACTTACAATTTTGAGGGATTTGTATTTCTACTCCATTACAATTCAGAGGTAAATTGTGTACTTATACTCCACTACATTTATTGAATATCTTTAGTTAATTTGCAGATTTGGATTAATGATGTGAAATATAATTAACACTTAAACAAAATACGTTAGTTAAAGTACATTTCACAAGCTACCCTACTACACAAAGGCACTTAAATTGGCTGCAGCTTTACCACCTGGATAACAATTACAAAGCATACATAATTATAATCAAAACACATATATACGATTCTGAAATGGGCTAATCTGAATAAATGAGTACCAAATTCTGATGCTAATACTTTTGTACTTTTACTTAAGATTTTTTTTTTTTGTTATAGTAGTGTATTTAAGTTAACTGTAGTATTTATATTACGTTTTTAAGTATCTGAGTTCTTCCAACACCAATTGTTTTTTCCAGAGCCATATAATAGATAATTCTATATGGCGCTGGTTGTTTCCCCCTTCTCCTTTTGGAGCGGGAAAACTACATGACCCACAATTCCTTTCATTTCGCACTCGTTTTAGCGTTGCCTAGTTACGAGGGCGCGTGCTTAATGTCAAAAGCTAACTTACTAGCTAACAGGAACATGGATATTCGTACTTTTTATTTAATTGTAACACTAAGTGCGCTGACTGCTTCTCAGTAAGTCTTTAGTCAGACTTTGTCGAGTTTTCATTACGGAATAATGAAGGAAACAGAAAGTGAAGAGTTGTCCTCAGCGTCGCCTAGCTGCTGCCCCCCAGGGTCCCACAGTGCCGCTCCCCCTGCAGAGGCTCCGGGCTGCCAGGAGCTAGAGGAAAACAGAGACATGGAGGTAAGGATAACGCTACTTTAGCTGCTTAAACTAAATAAGTAACATGTGTTTTGTTTTCATACTTATTAGAAACACACTGTTGTTGAACTGTTTCTTTTCTTTTATTGCTTTCATCATGACAAAAAAGTAAGAGCAGTTTCAATGAAACCCCTTCTGTGTTCCCTTATGCCACAGATAAAGCAGGTTACCTTGCACAAGAGGTCTGGGCAGGTAAAAGACCATAGCAAGGTCAAATGGTTGGATTTGTTTGCAATATGTTCACTTTGTGCATCCATATTAAGTGTGTGTGTGTGTGTGTGTGTGTGTGTGTGTGTGTGTGTGTGTGTGTACTGCATGGATTAGTGCATGTGCTTTTTAGACTCCTTTTGAATTCTGTAGCTGCATTGTTACAGGGATTCCAGCAGTTCATTGCAATCAAATGTCCACCACATTATTCTAATAAAGCTTTACTTTTAGTTTGTTTATGTTTACAGAAGGTAGGTGTTTTAACTGCTGAGGTGGTCTCCAGTTGTGTGTCCAACCTTGGGCGCTTTGGCTCTGGGCTGCATCATTTGTACCACCACCTGTCACTGCCTGTAAGTGTTTGTCAAATAAATAGTCAAGCTTTTATGTATTTCGATTTTCTGAATTATCAAGACATTTGTGACAAATCAGTGTGCATTCACATTATGTCATGTTATAGTTATGTTAACCGCTATCCTTGCAGTTTATTTTGAGGCACATTTATTTTTTAAAAGTTGATTTTTTCTTATTGTAGAGTCAAGATCTCAGTAACGTCTCGGTTTTATCCAAGTATGTCCACCTTGAAATGCTGGAACTGCCGCATAACAAAATTAAAGGTGATTATTCTTTATTAAAGATGTATTTACATTGTAATATGTTTACTTCTGTTGCTGTCTTTATCCTATGTTCAACTGCTCTCACTTTTCTCAACTGCCAGATTTATCCTGTGTGAGCCACATGCCCTACCTCGTCACTCTGGATGCTTCTCACAACGAAATCTCCAGCTTCTTTGGATTCCAGCCCCCCATGAACCTAAAAGTAATGCGGGACCTTGAGCTGACAGGATAAGAGCACATTTGATGGGCGGCTTGGGCTTTACCTTCTCTTGCTATTCCCTCCAGATAGGAATGAATTTCCATGGCCCACCATCTGTATTTTCTTTGAATATGCTTATAAGGCATTAACTGCCCTTGAACGACAGAGGACTTTAATGAATTAGACAATTATTTTACATACTCCATCAATTCAGTCGGAAATAATTACTTCAGTGAAAAGTAATGAACACTTTTTATAATATTGTTCTGCTTTTTTTTCAGGAGGTCAATTTCTCCCACAACCGTATAACAAAAATGGAGGATTTGTCAGCCTATTCATCTCTTTGTAATCTTGATCTGGATTGTATCCTTACATTCATCCATATGCACTTGAACTTGCACACTTCCTCTCTCTTTGTCTTTGCATCTTTTCAACAAATGCATTATATTCAACTGCATGTTCCTTTTGTGATTATTTTTTAACACACCCATACTTAGACAACAGTCTCAGTGAGATCACTGGTCTTGAGCAATGTTTCAAGCTCACCCGTCTCAGCGTGGCACACAACAAGATCTCGAGGATCAGCGGCCTGCACAGCCTGCCTCTCACACACCTCTGCCTGGTAGGTGCTCCTCTATAACAGTCAGAAGTATGACCAACACAATGCTAATTCCAACACAACAATTCATACACACAGTTCTTTCAGGCACATAGTTTGCCTGTCTTTGCCAGAGCTTGTTGTGTTATCTCTACATCATCTCCACACCCACAGTAGAGTTATTCTCTCTTTTTATGTATGTTTTACTCAATGTATGCTCCATCTCACCTATTTATGTTTGCCTCTGTATTCTGGCCCCTCTGTATGTCTCTGCTTTTGGCTGAATTTTTACATTCAGTAAAACCTTGGCCCCCTGATCGAGAATCACCATATGGTCCAACAGCAGGCATTTTCTCTCTCTCTTCTCTCCCTATCTCTCTGTCTCACTCTCTCTGTGTGTGTGAATGTTTGTGAGTGTGTGTAATTGTGCACACATGCATGTTCTGTCCTTTATCAGTGTTTCCTCATTGTCGGCAGCCATCGGTCTGGCTGTTTGTGCCGCTTTCTGTGGCTTTGCTTTGGGACCAGCTGTTGGTGTTTGAGTGAGCCTGGACTGAGTTCACCACACACAAACACACACATACACAGACACACAGTCACACATACCTTGTCCATCCAGCATCCATCCAATCCCATCCCTGACCCCACTTCCTCACATGCTGGCTCCCTCAACAGCATAACCCTGTCAGCCCGGTTCCCTGCCCATCACTGCACCGACCCAGAGCTTCCAGGGAACAGCACCGTCACCCAGCCCTCTGACAGCTACCCTCTGCCAGGCAACATGCTTGGCAAGAGCAGGACGAGGTGTGGCCAGGCGGGTAGATAACAACTTCAGTCAGTGGAATGGAGTGAGAGGCAGGCTGGGGACCCCGACAAGGGAGGAGTTCCTAGGTCTGGTTCTTTAGTTGGTTAGCGTGCTGCGCTAGCACCTCGCCAGCTGTTTAGCTGTCAGTCCTCACCTGTCAGGATTTAGCAGAGAGAGACAGGCCTGCCACTCAACTCAGCACTGAGGGGAAAGAAGGTTCAGGCAACCTGCAGAGCGAGTGGGAACTGTTGGCTTTATATGAAGTAGAACAGTGGGTGAGAATCCACTTAGGTATGTGTGCATATTCATGAATATCACGTACTCGCTTCTTTAAATGTGTTCTCTTTCCGTTCTGTTCCTAGAGGGGAAACCAGCTGGAGAGGATTGAAGGGTTGGAGAATCTGAAGTGTCTGCAGTTTCTTGACTTGTCTCTGAACCGCATCACCAGCCTGTCTGGGCTCCTCAATCTCCACCTGCTGGGCTCCATCAATCTGGAGAAAAACATGGTATTGATCTTTGAGAATCTTCAAAAAAAACGTCTCAACACCAAAAATCTGAAATGTGATTAAGCTCATTTGTTGTATTGGTTTAAACATTTAGACATAAATGCACATTTTCACTTAATTGACTGAAATTGTACTTTCACACTCAACATGTTTCCTAATTTAACAACTACAAATAAACTGGATGAACTTGTGGTTTTGTTACAGATCAGTGAAATTCAGGAGTGCAAGCACATTCATGATATTTTCCTGTTGAGGGACCTCAACCTAGTGGGAAACCCTGTACAGGTAACCTAACCCTTTATTGACCACATGGTTCTGATATCAGAACATTTATTTTATATGTTGATATACTATATACAGTTTTGAAAGATGTCCTTTATTCCTGCTTCTTCTCTTCTTTTGTTTCTGTACCCAGTCTGTTAGTACTTAAGGCTCTATGATGTGTTCCACCTGTATGTGGCATTTCAAAATTGATGAGAGTTGGTTTCAAGTACATATTTATCATGTGTTTTTTATTATACTACTATGTGACTGTAATTTGCAGGATCAGCCCGATTACAGACTGGCAGTCATCTTCCTCCTCCAACATCTGACTGTGTTGGACCAAGAGAAAGTCACTGTTGAAGAAAAGGTATAAATAAACATAACTATTTATTATTTCTGTTGCAATTTCACAGCAGACATACAGTTTCGAAATACCTGACCATGTTCTATCAGCATACTGCACTAATCTCTACCATCCATCAGAGGTTGCTTTCAACACTTTATTACTTTCCTTACATCCCAGGTGTCATCAGTAAACCAGTTTGACCCTCCTTTGGATGTGGTAGCAGCCCGGGATCACATGACCCACCTGGTGTATCAGCTGATGCAGCCTCAGGTGCTATATGACAGGTCGGTCCAAATACTGTATTGTAACTGTGATAACCTCTGAATGGTCCTCTGCTTTCTTTCTGCATACTTATACAGCAACTTGCAGGTTAGACACACCAATGAATAAATGTGTTGGAAAATGATGAATACACTAGATTTTTCAAAAAATATACAGAAATATACACTACAGTGACATCTGGCGTCGTTTTTGTAAAACATTTTTACTTCCACATAGAAAAAGCCTCCCCACGTGACGTAACATGGGGGAGAGCGGCCGATCTAACGTATGAATAAACATGGATCACAATGCTAGTTTTGACACAGAAGAGGTTGAAAATATATATTCGAATGCATATGATTATAATTATGAGCCTGCAAGAGGTCCAAGAGACCAGGAGCAGCCAAGGATTAGAATACATAACGGCCATCGGCGAGAAATGGAGCTTTGGTGTGTGGAGAACCAGTGGAGAACAGATTTTAAACACTCCTGGGATTCGAGCTATGTATCTGTAGTGTTCTGTCTTTATAAAATCTGTGCATTTTCCAATAATCTTTTCCGAGATCCGAGGTGCAAAAAGAACATGCATTATGCTAACTCTATATGTGACTGAAGGACACAATGTTCTGTCAATCAGATTAGAATCACAGAGGGCTTTTATTTTGAAATTGCTGATTTGTGCGCCACACATCTCCTGCCTCCAGCAAACCCTGAAGTGTGTTGGAACAATTGGATTCATTTAAGATTCACAGGAGATTCCATGCCTGCCTAGTTTTACATTTGTATGGAAATTAAGAGATATAATCTTCTGGTGGTAAATAGTCTGTCCATAAATGGATTACTTTTTCTGCAGTTTCTTTCCACTGTCAGCAGAAAAGTTTATGTTTATTGTGATTTAGACTTCAAAATCGAAAAGGGAACAAAATCCTTTGAGCGCAACTTAATCTGACAGCAGCAACGAGACTGACAGCTCGTTTTTCATCTCCCCAGCAAGTAGAAAATAGGAAATAATTTTGTTAGTCCACGCTTGTCTGCATACATTTACAACTGCCATTCAACCTTCTTGGATCAGAGTTCATTTCAGCTCCAGCCAATCAATGGGAGCAGCTCCAGCACTGCATACTCCTCATAAATGCTTGATATTTATTTCCAACATGGAGGAAAGCTATAAATCCCTTTCACCTAGTCGTCTTCATGAGCTCCACAGTTGTGTTGCATCTAAAAATGTAATACAGTCAACTACATAAATTATGGAAGACAACAACAAGATTTCCTTATCACCAGCTATAAATCCCCGCTGTGCAGATGCTGCAGCAGCATGCGGCCGATTTGGCTGATCATGCTCCTCAGAACCAATCATGCCATCTAGACAGTAACAGTTTTAACATGCTTAAATAATAGCTGTCGTCAAACGCATTATGTAAAAACATTCTGACATTTGTAGTCTAGTAAAATGTGTAAACTGATATTTGTTCACATTTGGTGCGCATGACTCACAGTTCCTGATTTGCATGCTTTATGTGTTTGTATAAATTCCTACACCTCGCTTTTGTCACAGTATCTGATGGTTATTGAGTCACTACTGTGTGACATATTTTTAAATGTATATACTAAACAAAAATGTAATTATTATTTTATATATAAAGCTGCTTTAAGAGTATGCTTTGCAATTTACTACACGTTCCCTTCGTATGTAAGAGATGCTATATAGCACAGTACATGGATAAAACAGGTAGGTCATTGTGTGCCAACTGAAACTGTTAGTGGACTAATCGATTAGTGAACCAAAAGTTAAATAAATAACCACAGTTAATGTCATATGGTTACTGACTTAAGTATTATTTGGGGCAAGTTTGAGAAATTTGAATGGACATTTTTCAGTGTTTTCTGACATTTTATGGACCAAACAATGAATTGATAAATTGAGCAGCAAATTCATAGAAAATAAAAAGGGGGCACGCATTGGGTTGGATAATATTTATAAAGTAACTTGACACTAAATACATTTTGGAGTCATTAAGACGCCAGCATAAATGTATAGTATTATAATGTAATTGATCTTTATCCCAGTCTATTATATGCAATGAAAAATCATTAGCATTTTCCAGAGTAAAAAGAAGCAATTGTCTGTAGACCAAAATATGTTCTGTAAGGAATGAATAGCATTGAGTTGTATTGCATACTCCTGCAGTGCAAGGCCACATCTCCACCAACAGACTTTATTTGATGCATGAGAGCAATGCTGCAGTTTATAGTCTGGTGTTGTTATATTGCACACGAAATAACAAAACACAGACAAAATCAATCAGTGTTTTTATTGGCTGATATGTCAGATGCAGTTCAAAGTTGAACAGAGGTAATCTCTGACGTGTAAGTCTGCCTGAGCTGAGTGAAGCCTGCATGGAAACACATGCTTGAATATGTTTTCGCTGCATGTAGGCAAACGTGTACATTTGGAGATCTTTGTTTTGCACTTTTTTTGTTTGCTTTGCCGCCTTTTACTGCTTCTGTGCGAAGAGATGTCTAAGTGTATCTTCCCTAATGCATTCTGTAATTCCTGCTTCAGTCTTACAAGACTCACTGAATTGAATAGCAGGCAGAGTTAGTATTCACAGGGAGGAAGAGTAGAGAGTGGGAGTGTCCGTGATTGTGGGTTAACAGCAGAGCAGGACCATAGGGATGAATGTCCGGTTCTGAGTGATTTTCCTTTTTTAATATATAGCGTTCCAAGTCAAAACAGGGCATTAAATGTCCCTTTAATCTCAAACACACACTTGAAACAACTCTGCCGTTGGTGGAGCAGTGTATAAATGGCTGCGATGGGTGAAAACTCAATTATTTCTGCGTTTTCCTTTGAATCTATATCGGAACGTTGCAGAGTCTGCTACCAAATCCCGACGGAGCCTAATGACGCCCTGTGTGCTTATAAATCAGAGCTGTTGCGAATGAGATGTTGTGGCAGTGTAGCATACAGCGGCTGAGTGAAAGCTGCGGTCCTCTTCTTCGTCTGTGAACCGGATCGTAACAGGATGAGTTTTGAAGCGTCACCCGTGGCGGCTCAGCGGTAATTGAATTGAGTTGCATCTAATCTCATTGCCCAGCTCCTTTGGTTCCATGCCTCTCATTAGGGTACGGTGAAGAGTGTCACAGGCCTCCGTCTCTCTCTCACTCTCTCTCCCTCTCTCACAACAACCTCTCATATCTCGCAGCTGATCCGGGCTAACTAGGCAAATCAGAGAAACCATATTGCACATTTCTCTAAGCATCCAGCTCGGCATTAGCCACAGTCGACTCTCAGCTTCAGAGCCACGGCTATACTGCTCGCTGGAGCTACACTGCATCATCACACTGTGTCATCGCTGGTATTACACTAATCCCAAATCTAATCTCCTGATCTAATCAAATAATGAAATGTAAGTAAATAAGTCAGCATCAACTACACTATATTACACAATAAAAATAGGAACCAAAAGCAGCTGACTCTAGCAGCCAAAAGTAAGAAATGAGGGGCTGGTCTGAACTCATTTTCAGAAGGATCAAGATCTAAAGCACACGCATGAAAAAGAGGCGAGAGCCGTTGAGCCAACAGTAAATGTGGCCGCTCTCCTCTAACTGGCCAGGCCTCTGGTATATGAGAGTCTTAAACGCCCCACTGAGCACCGTCCAGGGTCTCACATGGCATCAGGAACAACTGAATTCGAACCACAAAGATAATGGTTGGATTTATAATTGTTTGGATTGGCTTGGGTTTGAGGATTAACACCTGTTCCTATACTGTATATAATCTGCTTTAAAAGGGTCTGTTCTCCAAAGTACAAAAAAAGTATGATATAGAAAATAGATACTAGTTGCAAAATAGAAACAAACAAAGCTGTGTTCTGTCCTAGCAATATTGCATAACATGGATTAGGATAGGGCTTCTCAAACTCCGGACCAAGGTCCGGATCCGGACCGAACTGCAAATCAATCCGGACCGAACCCTGTGTCCCATTATAAAAACTTTTAAAAAATAAATCTTTTTTAAAAAAGATTTCTGAATCTGATGAAAATTAAAGTGGACCTATCATGCTATATTGGAAACATATATTGTAGGGCCATACCTATACAAAACATGTCTAAAGTTTTGTGCTGTGATCTACCAAATAGATCACCCATTGTAGCCATGCCTCATACTGCTCATCATACCCCTCTTTTGCAGCCCTGTTAGAGAAACGCAGATTTTTGGTCCTTAGCTTGAACAAAAAAAAAAGAAGAGGTGGAGCTAATGCCTTATCAGAATTCTACCGGAGATAAAGTTCAATTCTGCTGTGATAAAACGCCATCCTGTTCTAAACCACATGAAAGATTATTTCTGAAACAGTATCTCAAATGCTTTTTCTCTTGCGGGTTTATCACAAGGTGAGTTCCTTTTTTTATTTCCTGCTTTTTAAACACATGTGCTCTTCAGTACAGGTTAGCTCTGAGTGTTAGCGAGGCTTGCTAATGTAGTAAACCAAAGAAGCGAGAAATTTTAACGTCCAAAACACGTGCAGGCGGCTTGTTTCTGATAGCCAACTTTCCCCTCCTGGTGGGTCGCGCTGCCCAGAATTTGAGCGTGCAGATCGGCAGGGCAAATCTGTATCCCGCTCCCTGTTATTTACAAGGATTTGGTGTTACGGAGGAAAGAGAGAGGCGTTTTATTTTTCTGACGCTGCGTGAGTTTGCCTGACGGGACCGGGCACACATGATTTATCGTATAAAAATACATCACAAAGTGGGCATTGTCTGACCGCGTTGTGAGAATGAACGTGCAATATATATTTAGCTTGTGTGCGCGAGCGTGACGACGGCATTGGCAGACGCAAAGTTTAACGCCCCNGGGACTGTCCCCGGAAAACGGGGACGTCTGGTCACCCTATAATAGAAGAGTTGGGATCGCAGAGAAACACTCACTCAGCCTTATCTTTTCTCAGGCTGTGAGAGTGTGTCGAACTGTGTGGCGAACTGTGTGACGAACAGCCTGGCTTTGAGTGTGTGTGTGTGTGCTCAGGCTGAGTTCCGCGATGTCTCACTGATGAAGTATTATTTGAATTATTTGAAGGATTAAAGTAACGTGTTATGGCAGGAAAGTTCAATCTGGTATATTCATTTTAATGTCACCTTATATAGAATGTGTGTTAAACTTGTGATTTCTGCATTGAGTGACTTCTGCCTAGCAGATACCAAGAAGAGGCCCCGAGGGTCTCTCTGTTAATGATCAATAGTCCTTGCAATTAACAGGGGAATTCCCGGATACATTTTCAGATATAAGGCAGTTAAAGTCTTGTAGACTTAATGTTTATCTCCTACACATCCTGCAGGCCTTGAGACTTGGGTCACCCAGCAGTAAACAAGATAAACGTCCTTTTGAGCTTATCAATAAAATGTATTCATTCCTAGTAAGCTGACTTTGGGGTGAAGGGAAGTTCAGGGAAGCCATTAAGCCATAAGAACAATTAAACTTCTGTTAATCAACCAAAACTCATGACTGCCAGGGGACAGGACATTCGGACCTATAACAAGGGTCACTTCATAGGGAATATGTGTGTGTATTCCTTACTGTGATCATATGTCCTGTATAATCATTTATCAACTATTCCTGTATTGGTGTTTTATTTGATTTCTCTGTTTTTATTCGTTCATGTGTGGGTACTAAATGGCTACAAACATTGTGGAGAAATTAGCTTAAACATGTTTTATTACTCTATATGAAATGGAAGCAGCTTTTATGACAGGGACGAGAGAGCTGGGGGAGGGGACATTCTTCTTAAGATTTTCAGCATGTCAATTATCAGGGAAATCTACTTGTTTTAAATAGATGTGTGTGGTTGGTTACTTTGTATTAATAATAACAGTATGTGTAAAGGAAGCTGGAAATATGCAATGTGAAACCTTTTATTTGAAATAAAGATTCTGCAGGGAATATTCTTAAAGAACAATAGCTCAAGTGTCTGGAAAAGCTGCAGGCTAAATGAGTGTGCGGTACTTTTTTACTGCTTGAGATCAGAGCTGATGTTTTCCTCTTGTTATTATTGTTTGAGGTTAAGGTAACTCACATGTGTTATTTGTATAATCCAACTATAAAAAACTATATCTTAAACCTAACTTTATAAAATGCCAAAAGTATGTGAAACTTGCAAGGAGGGGTTTGTTATCTCAAATGTAAGGGTCGCCTCTGGCTCGCGCTGATTGGCTGTCTTTTCTAAGTGGAGGACCCCTCGGGGGGGGGNCCGACGCTTGGGTTTTTGGATATAAGCCTGTGTTTTCTTTAGACCGGTCTCTTCTTTTCTTCAAACTGACCAGATCCGTAAGATTGGAGGAAGAGCAGGAAGTACTTCCTTTGTATTTGTA